AAATTGCGCAAGCCCTGTATCGGTCCCGATACCGTAGCTAGTACCGGTATCGGGACATCCCTATTTGGTGCATGTCTGGAAAAGGTTACTTCTCACTGGAATGCCCTATTTTGCATATACCACTTCTCACCTGTGGTGGCACCACAATTTGTTGTGCCACCACTAACAGAGCAGGGGAACTATTGGCTGTTGTGACCTACAAACCAATTCTTTGTTACAGGAGAACTCCAGGAAAGGTTTTTTTTAACCCTTGTAGTGGGCCTACTCCTGCACTGCAAGAATCCAGTGCTCATTTTTGTCTAGGTGCTAAAATAACAAAGTGCTAAAATAATAAGTTATACTGATCAGAAGCTCAAGCCAGCCAGCTATCACAGTGCTCCCTCCAGCCTGTCTCCTCCTACTCTGCAGCATTGGAATGTTCCTCAGCGTCCTCGCATCTATACACTGTTGATAGACAACGTGATGATTAATGGGACCTTAGACCACTACAGAGGAGAGGGAGAGGCTTAAGGAACAATTCCAAGAACAAGCCAACTCGAAGCATTGGGTGAGTATAACTTTTTTTAACCTAAACAAAAACAAACGTTAACCCTTGCAGTGCGGGGGTAGCCCTACTGCAAGAGCTAATAACATTTTTCCTGGAGTTCTTAAATAAGGCACCCTGGTGAAGGGCTACGATAAAATAACTATGGCCTGGCTTCCACTTTGTTGTTTATTTCAATCTGCTATCAGTTTGCTACAACTAAGAAAAAAAATACAGTTTCTTCAAACTAGACTATTGTGTTCTGTGTACAGAAAGTCCCAGCATTTCCACTGCTTTTCCTAAAAGTCTGTATATGAGATGAAATCATAGTCTGCAGCTTTTCTCATGACAACACTGAGACTAATCACGTGTATATAGTAAAAGAAGGTTTGGTAAATGCAAGGCGATATCTGCAGAAGAGAAGCAGGTTGGAATTTCCCAGGTAAATTTGCTCTTCTATTATCTATATCAGGGGCGCCCACAAGGTCGATCGCGATCTACCAGTCGATTGCGTAGCGATCACTGGTAGATCGCCATGTCCTCTCCTCCCGCCGCTTCTCTGGATCCCCGCTGCTCTCCCCAGCGGGGCTCCGAGAAGAAGTGAAGGAACCGG